CACAGTGGATACACACGGCGGATTGAAATTGCACCTCGCCACCCCTGGGGGGCTGCGATCTGTGAAACTGTCGCAACATTCGAGGCCTGCTGGGGGGCCCAGCGCAGTGGGTACACACGGCGGATTGATATTTGACCTCGCCATCCCTGGGGGGCTGCGATCTGTGAACCTGTCGCCACTTTCGAGGCCTGCTGGGGGGCCCAGCACACTGGGTACACACGGCGGATTGAAATTAGACCTCGCCATCCCTGGGTGGCTGCGATCAGTGAAACTGTCGCCACTTTCGAGGCCTGCTGGGGGGCCCAGCACAGTGGGTACACACGGCGGATTGAAATTAGACCTCTACATCCCCGGAGGGCTGCGATCTGTGAAACTGTCGCCACTTTCGCGGCCTGCTGGGGGGCCCAGCACAGTGGGCACCCACGGCGGGCTCAAATGGGACCTCGCCATCCCTGGGGGGCTGCGATCTGTGAAACTGTCGCTACTTTCGAGGCCTGCTGGGGGGCCCAGCGCAGTGGGCACACACGGCGGATTCAAATGGTACCTCGCCATCCCTGGGGGCCGCGATCTGTGAACCTGTCGCCACTTTCGAGGCCTGCTGGGGGGCCCGGCACACCGGGTACCCACGGCGGACTCAAATGGAACCTCGCCGTCCCTGGGGGGCTGCGATCTGTGAAACTGTCGCCACTTTCGAAGGCTGCTGGGGGGCCCAGCACAGTGGGTACACACGGCTGACTCAAATGAGACCTCGCCATCCCTGGGGGGCTGCGACCTGTGAAACTGTCGCAACTTTCGAGGCCTGCTGGGGGGCCCAGCACAGTGGGCACCCACGGCGGACTCAAATGGGACCTCGCCATCCCTGGGGGGCTGCGATTTGTGAAACTGTCGCCACTTTCGAGGCCTGCTGGGGGGGCCAGCACACTGGGTACCCACGGCGGATTCAAATGGGACCTCGCCATCCCTGGGGGGCTGAGATCTGCGAAACTGTCGCCACTTTCGAGGCCTGCTGGGGGGGGCCAGCACAGTGGGTACCCACGGCGGACTCAAATGGTACGTCGCCATCCCTGGGGGGCTGCGATCTGTGAAACTGTCGCCACTTTCGAGGCCTGCTGGGGGGCCCAGCACAGTGGGTACCCACGGCGGATTCAAATAGACCTCGCCATCCCTGGGGGGCTGCGATCTGTGAAACTGTCGCCACTTTCGAGGCCTGCTGGGGGGCCCAGCACGTGAGTGACAGCCGCAGATTCAAATTAGACCTCGCCATCCCTGGGGGGCTGCGATCTGTGAAACTGTCGCCACTTTCGAGGCCTGCTGGGGGGCCCAGCACAGTGGACCCACGGCGGATTCAAATTAGACCTCGCCATCCCTGGGGGGCTGCGATCTGTGAAACTGTCGCCACTTTCGAGGCTGCTGGGGGGCCCAGCGCAGTGGGTACACACGGCGGACTGAATGAACCTCGCCATCCCTTGGGGCTGCGATCTGTGAAACTGTCGCCACTTTCGAGGCCTGCTGGGGGGCCCAGCACAGTGGGTACACACGGCGGACTCAAATGAGACCTCGCCATCCCTGGGGGGCTGCGATCTGTGAAACTCTCGCCACTTTCGCGGCCTGCTGGGACGCCCAGCGCAGTGGGCACCCACGGCGGACTCAAATGGGACCTCGCCATCCCTGGGGGGCTGCGATTTGTGAAACTGTCGCCACTTTCGAGGCCTGCTGAGGGGCCCAGCACAGTGGGTACCCACCGCAAATTCAAATTAGACCTCGCCACCCCTGGGGGGCTGCGATCTGTGAAACTGTCGCCACTTTCGAGGGCTGCTGAGGGGCCCAGCACAGTGGGTACCCACCGCAGATTCAAATTAGACCTCGCCATCCCTGGGTGGCTGCGATCAGTGAAACTGTCGCCACTTTCGAGGGCTGCTGAGGGGCCCAGCACAGTGGGTACCCACGGCGGACTCAAGTGAGACCTCGCCATCCATGGGGGGCTGCGATCTGTGAAACTGTCGCCACTTTCGAGGCCTGCTTGCGGGGCCCAGCGCAGTGGGTACCCACCGCAGATTCAAATTAGACTCCGCCATCCCTGGGGGGCTGCGATCTGTGAAACTGTCGCCACTTTCGAGGCCTGCTGGGGGGCCCAGCACAGTGGGTACCCACCGCAGATTCAAATTAGACCTCGCCTTCTCTGGGGGGCTGCGATCTGTGAAACTGTCGCCACTTTCGAGGCCTGCTGGGGGGCCAGCACAGTGGGTACCCACACGAAGATTCAAACTAAACCTCGCCATCCCTGGGGGGCTGCGATCTGTGAAACTGTCGCCACTTTCGAGGCCTGCCGGGGGGCCCAGCACAGTGACGCCACACGCAGATTCACACTAGACCTCGCCATCCCTGGGGGGCTGCGATCTGTGAAACTGTCGCCACTTTCGAACCCTGCTTGCGGGGCCCAGCACAGTGACGCCTCCCAAGTAGCTTACACATCAAGTCGATTGTCCATACAAGTTTCGGC